TTACATCTTGAGCTCTTTAAACATTTGCAGCCAGTCACCTTATATGTTCATGCATGTTAATACAGATGTGCTCTACATGACAACAATCATTTAGATTGGCCTGACATAACTGGGAAGGGTTAAAGAAATCACTGGTCCCAGAAGTTCCCATTAAAAGCCATGTGGCATGTTGATTTCCTCATTGTGGTAATACGAGTTCTGCAGCTGGAACAGTAAGAGTATAACAGCGAGAATGGTTTCACTTAACTTTTTATGGGAAAGGGTTTTAAGTGAGTACTTAATACATTCAGGTAAAATGGGACACTTTTCCTGAAGTGAAACCTGCATGTCTTTAGACTACCAGGTGCCATAAAATCATGACTTATAGTATTGTGTGCCAGTCTGTAATATTACAGAAACCTTTTAGTATTTTTGTAACTTTTGTATTTTTAAAATCTCTTTTATTGATAGTCAATCTATTAACTTCTTTTATTATCTATAGATTCCTTTATTCCACTGAACTCCTTGGCATATATATATATATTTTTTTAATTTAACCTTTATTTAACCAGAAAAACTATTTTCAAGAGTGTCCTGGCTGAGACAGGTAGTATGGAGTTAGATTTGTGTCCTCCTCCTTTCACTGAACATGTTTTCATTGTCTGGCACGAGAGTTTGAACAGAGTTTGACAGGTGAGCATTACTGTATGTCTGCAGCTCCTTGTATGTGGAATCTTCTGCAGAAGGACTTAAAGTTGCTCTCATTGGTTCCTCTCAGATTGTACACAGTCTCCTATATGCCAATGTCACAGTGTATTTTAGCTGGTCTTTGTAATCATGTATAGTTGTCATTTGTTTATGGTTCACCTCTAGCATATGTTAACATACTTTTTGGCTTTTCTTCCTTTTATATTGCTTATTTTACAGCTGTATATCTTTTATTTTGTATTTTCATTCTACGTCGTCTGTTTGTAACCTTATGTTATGCTGCCTGTCTATGGAGTTAGATTTGTGTCTTTATTACATGCGAGAAAATAAATGATATGAGAGAAAAAAAATATTTGAGAAAAATGTTTTCACACTGATAGCAAAAAAATAATAATATTTGAGACAAAAAAAAGTTTTGAGAGAAAGTATTTTGTCATAGAATATTAAAAAAAAAGAGATTTAAAAAATTATTTCCGAGAGAAAAAAAAAACTCTCTCTCAAAAAACTTTTTTTTACTCTCCAATATTATTTTTTTTTTGCTATTATTCATCATCTGTGTCATCATCTTACCCAAACATTGGAGTCTCCGCTCCCAAATAACATTTCTATGCCGCATCTATGCCGGTGGATGGTGGATGAATGATTCAGTTGAATTTGACTCCCAAGACGATCCTCACCCAGCTGTCAATTCGATTGAGACTGGCCAATAGGAATGTGGCCCCGCTCATGACATTATTTTCGCAGCGAAAGCAAAATCCTGACACAAGAGCAAAGACTTAGGTTTTGAGAGAGAGAAGAAAAATGTTTTGAGAGAAATTTTATTTTTGAGAGAAAATGTTTCACACTGATAGCAAAAAAATAATATTTGAGAGTAAAATAAAGTTTTTCAAGTCAAATATTATTATTTTTTGCTATCAGTGTGAAAACTTTTTCTCTCAAATATTTTTTTTCTCTCATATCATTTATTTTCTCGCATGTAAAAAAGACACAAATCTAACTCCATACATCCCCTCCACCTCCCGATGACACAACCAGCTCATAAACTGTGTTCCCTTAGAAATGTTGATACACTTTTGAAATGTGCAAATGTTAACAGGGTTTGCAGAAATGTAGAAGGCTTTGCAAATCCAGAATTTCTCCGTATGCAGATGCGCTAAACTGTTAATGTTCTCTTGAATGTCACTTGTCAAAGAAAAATCTTTACCTACAACATAACTTTGAACGCAACTTTACAGGCTACCAGCTGTATTTATACTTCATCAGTAACAGTGTGATCGTCTGAATGACGCTCATGCAGTGAACATCTCACGACATGAAACCAGCTTTCATCACCTTCCATCACTTAGAAAACACCTCGACATGCAGTCACTGAGACGCTGTGTTTGTTCCATGAAGCAGATTCACTCAGTGATCCGCGGTAACACCTGGAGCAGGAGTGTTTACATCATACAGGTCAGGAAGGATCAGTTTTTTCAACAAAGCTGCTTTCTGGAAGCTGTACCTGAACACACCTCACACTTTGTTTGAGTTATTAGAAAGCAACAGGTCTGTTTTTATGGAGGAAATCCACTTTATGCCTTGTTATGTGTTTGTAACCATGTCAGCAAACAGCAGAGGGTTTTAATCCCATCTGACATGAATGCAGCACGAGGTCAAAGGTCACGGCATCATTTTCCTGTGTCCTAACACAATAGATAAATGAGAAGACTTCACAGTGTCGATAACCTGATCGTCCTCTGACGCCATGATGCAAACTGCCTCTATAAAGCAACAGCTGCTGAGTGAGAGTGCAGTAACTGATGTGTGTGTGATATGCAAACAGGGACTGATTAGAGACACTTAACCAAAGCAGCAGCAGCAGCAGCAGCAGATCTGGGCCAAACTTTAATTGTTGATAAGGAGTTTTTGCATTTAAAAGGCGCACAGGACAACCCACAGCATGCTGGTACTGTCCCAGTGCAACCAGCTGTAGCTGTCTCACAGTGTTCACTTTATTAGGTACACCTGCCAGAATGGGCTAAGATGTTGTGCTCTTTTTAAATGTAACAAAGGGAAATGTTTTCAAATGTAATTCTATTTATACATTTATATTTTTATGATTACTGGTTTATTCATTATTAAAATGCACCCTGTGTGTCAGTGGTTGATTATCTTGTTCTCGCACACAGATGACGCCATACACAGTCCTGCCAATGGTCTTACATCATTCCACTGGTGCACAGGTGTATCAACAAACACTGAGATAAAGAAGACTGCAGTTTTTCTTTGCATATGTTTTATGAAAATATGGTCCATGCATATGTTACCTCTAGGCGGGATTACCATAATTCCCTATTATCAGGTGGCTCAAACAAGTCTTTGGAAACACTCCAGCTGATCCAGAATGCAGCGGCATGTGTACTGAAGGGAACCAAGAAAAAAGATCTCCTGTTTTAGCTTCTCTGCATTGGCTCCCTGTAAAATCCTCCGTCACATCTTAGAGAGCTCATAGTGCCATATTATCCCACCAGAACACTGCGCTCCGAGAATGCAGGGTTACTCGTGGTCCCTAAAGTATCTAAAAGTAGATCACTTCCTGTTGCGGTCCGGGAGGCAGACACCTTCTCCACATTTAAGACTAGACTTAAGACTTTCCTCTTTGATAAAGCTTATAGTTAGGGCTGGCTCAGGCTTGCCCTGTACCAGCCCCTAGTTAGGCTGACTTAGGCCTAGTCTGCCGGAGGACCCCCCTATAATACACCGGACACCTTCTCTCCTTCTCTCTCACGTCCTACTGCATGTCACTAACTCGGCTTCTTCTCCGGAGCCTTTGTGCTCCACTGTCTCTCAGGTTAACTTCTATTGCAGTGGTGCCTGGATAGTGTGACGTGTGGTTATATCATATGTCATATATCTTACTATATAATGATGAAAACTCTGTGTGTGTGTCTGTTCCACGTTTTTCTCCTCACTGACTTGGTCAATCCATGTGAAATTTGGCACAGTGGTAGAGGGTCATGGGAGGATGCCAATGAAGCAATATTACATCAATTGGCCAAAGGGGGGCGCTATAGCAACCAATTGAAAGTGCAAACTTTGAATGGGCATATCTCATGCCCCGTATGTCGTAGAGACATGAAACTTTGCACAGAGATGCCTCTCCTCATGAGGAACACATTTGCCTCAAGAACCCATAACTTCCGCTTATATAGATTTTCCACCATTTTGAATTTTTTGAAAAACACTTCAAATGGATCTCTTCCTAGGAAGTTTGAGCGATCTGCATGAAACTGGGTGAACATAATCTAGGGACCAATATCTAAAGTTCCCTCTTGGCAAAAGTTGGAAAACTTACTAAAACTGAGCTTCTATAAGGCAATGAATATTGCGGAGGGCGTGGCTCATCACATAAAGGTGTATAACATCTCAAGGGTTTCACCCATCACCACGCAACTTTGTAGGCATATGACCACACATAATCTGAGGGGACCCCTCCATTATTGACCCCATCAAACAAAATGGGGGCGCTAGAGAGCTCATTTCTTATCTAGGCCTAACCGCCATATGGATTTTTACTAAACTTGGTAGATATGTAGAACAGGACGCCTCAAGGTGACTGGAGAAATTTAACTCTAATTGGCAACTGGGTGGCGCTATAACAACAGAAAAATGCTTCAAAATGGCTAAAATGCGACCGATCGCTGTGGCTCCCCCTGTGGACCAATGTTGGTGTTGTTTTCTAATGTTTGGTATGACTAAGTCATGGTATGGTATGCTGTACATAATCACGGAAACTGTCAGTGTGTCATTCTGTCAGTCAGTCATTCTGTCTGTCCCACGTTTTTCTACTCACTGACGTGGTCAATCTATGTGAAACTGCACATAGGCATTGAGGACTGGCATAGGTAGAAGGTGACAAAGCTACCAATTGGGATGGACTAGTTAATATATAACAACACATTGTACCACAACGACTGTTACCAGTATATTATTACTAAAATTAATGTTGTAGCTATTGTCATTAGTGCTTGCTGTGTGTCTCTTTCTGTCTCATTGTGTCATACGGATTACTGTTAATTTATGTTGATCTGTTCTGTACGACATCTATTGCACGTCTGTCCGTCCTGGAAGAGGGATCCCTCCTCAGTTGCTCTTCCTGAGGTTTCTACCATTTTTTCCCCCGTTAAACGTTTTTTTGGGGAATTTTTCCTTATCAGCTGTGAGGGTTCTAAGGACAGAGGGATGTCGTATGCTGTAAAGCCCTGTGAGGCAAAGTGATATTTGTGATATTGGGCTTTATAGGATAGAGATACATTAAACATACTTGTTAGACCTTGATGATTCACACAGTGCGCTTTAATGACAAACACTGAATATAAACAACTTTTGTTTATTTTTAAGAAAACTCCTTCAAGATGGTGGTGAGGACAGTTATTATTTTCAGTTTGCACAAAACGTTCACCTGCTAGATCTAAACTAAAACAAGAAAAATGAAATAAGGAGAAATAGCGACAGGTTCAAATTCCCACACTGGTTCTAATTTCCCTCCCCAGTGTGAACAGCTGAGGGTAAACAGGATGTGACACTCACTGTCCTCATGTTGTCTTTTATTCAAAATCTAAAAACATTTTCACATCTATCTTTCAGGTTGATTTGGATGACACTGACGATCCCTAAGCCTCGCCCCTCACTTACTGTTGCTAACCCGTAATCTTTAATTTTCAGCACATTTACAGTTTACAATCACAACAGCAGATTTACCATCAAAATGTAACATTATTTTCAACAGTGCGTCTCTGATTTCACACAGGACCAACTTTTCACTTCTCACTGACGACTGTTGATGCTGCAAATGAAAACTGACACTGCAGCTAGCCAGTGAAGCTAACGTTAGCTCCATGAGTAGGGGGAAAACACTCCTCCAGCTGACTTTTTTAAATGTTTCTGGGGGAGCTGGGTGTGGGTTGGAGGTGACACAGGCAACTTTGTACTAGAGAGGGAAGCAAACAGACTCTGAGCCTGCTGCTGAGTTACTCGTCTGGTGTCTGAGACCAGATGAGGTGTTTGAGAGCTGATCAGTTGTCCTCCTGCCCTGTGCTCTTCCTGTAGTTCTTACGCTTGCTCTTCTTGAAGGAGGTAAACGTGGGGTTGAGCTCTTCTATCTTCTCCGCCTCCTCCTCATCTTTCTCTCTCTGCATTCGTTTCTCGTCCTCTGGTTGACCCACATCTCCCCTCATGTCTTTGTCCGCATCTCTTGCTCTGTCCTCAGCCTTTTCTACATTCTGGTCTGTCCTCCTTTCTCCAGCCTTCTCTTTCTCCCTGCCCACCTCCCTTTCATCCTCCTCCTCCAGATGACTGAGGCGTGTTTCCTTCTCTTTGCCTCTGACAGCAGACGGCTGATCAGCAGGTTGTCCCTTCAGCAGCCTGCTGGGTTTGGAGAAGATCATCTTCTGCTCAATGTCACAGGAGGAATCACTCCTGCTCTCCTGCGGCTCCTTCCTCTGCTGCAGACTGGACAGGAAGTGGTGAGCCGCCCTGCTGTTGCCCTGATCGCTGGTCTCTTCCACATCTTCCAGACTGTAGTGGGTCCAGCGCTCAGGATGCACCAGGTAGTCCGGGACTCCTCTCTTCTTTGCTGGTGTGGGGCTGCTGGGCGGAGGATGGCTCGTCTTCCTGCTGGGAGGTGGAGGAAGAGGCCGAGCAAACACCCCATCTGTAGCTTTCTCCTGGCTCAGAGCGGAGGAGGAGGCCAGCCGGGAAACACTGTCCAGGCATTCAAAGATGCTGTGGCTGCGGTCTGAGAAAGCAGAGCTCCCTCCTTTCAGACTGAAGGCACTCAGAGCTCCAAGTCCAACAGCTGGAGCAGAGATCTGAACCTCCTCGCCATCATCGTCATCATCATCCAGCTCTGGGTCAAAGGGAGCAGTGAGGAGTCCCTCCTCAGGCTCTGATTCATCACTGGCTGACAGCTCGTCTACATCATCATTGTTGTTTATCTTCTCGCTGCGGTCACTGCCATTTTTCTGATCACACATTTTAACAAGGCTCATCAGCTCAGCTAAATCGATAACCTGGTGAGAGAAGAAGAGGGTACATACATAAGTATACACCACCAAATCGCAGTGATACAGAAACGTCCCTATGTGCATATGCAATTTATAAAACAGAACCAGGCTTACACACAGCTCTATAAATCTGATGAAATATATGTGCGTACCATGTTTGTGCTCCTGTTGTAGCCTCCATGTTGTCTTTGTTGGTCTGCAGACTCACTGGCTCACACTGCCACTCTGGGGTTGATCAGTCTGAAATTTAAAGCAAGAACATGAAATCATTTCAACAAACCAAACACCGAAGACTGAATTACACAGCTTTTAACTCTTGTCTAAGTTCCACCAAGTGTGGTGTGCAGACAGATTTTAGCGGCCCTCTGCATGTCTTCCAACACTGTATGATTAACACAATGTTGGTTAATCACAGATCACTTTAATTTTTTTTGTTTGACCTCACAATGGCAGGACAGTCACACAGTTTGCAGGCGGAACTAATGTGCGTTCATAAACAGACAGTAAACAAGCACATGAGGAATTACCCAAGACTGGATATTTCCTTCTAGATAGCAGACCTGGTAAATTGACTGCACTTGTGTAGCGCCTTTCTAGTCTTCCAACCACTCAAAGCTCTTTCACACTACATCACATTCACCCATTCACACACTGGTGGCCAAAGATACCTTACATGGTGTCAGTAACCATTCACAAGGTCTCACACTGATGGGGCAATTGGAAGCAATTCAGGGTTCAGTATCTTGCCCTATCAGTATTTTGACATCGACAGGTGGAGACTGATCGAACCACTGATCGAACCACCAATCTTCCGGTCAGTGGACAACCCGCTCTACCTCTGAGCCACAGCTACCCCATAGTCACATAGGGCCATGGCCACAGGCTCAAGTGCGAGGGCCGCTGCTTTCAGGAAAGTTGAATACTTATTTACCTAGAGATGAAACAGTTGCATTTTTGTAATTTGTATGTGATTTTTTTTCTAGCACATGATGCAAGAAACATCAAGACGCTGGCTCTGCAGGTATTTTTTTACATTATCTAATCTGGCCCCCATTTAAAAAAGTTTGGACACTCCTGCCTTAAATGATCCTTCTCAGCCTTAACACTCACACTTTGAGCTTTAACCTTAGGGGAGCACTACAGACAAGTAAAAAAGTGCACAGAAAGTAGAGATGTACAATCCTTTTTTGGGTCTAATTTGAATCTTTAATTAATGATTATCTGTTGATACTGAGTCATCTCACATACTTATATTTACTTGAACAGGTAGTTTGGATCGTTATAAGTTGAGGTGTGTGAGGTTCTTATCCATAGTCAGTGTATTATATGCAAGATGTGAGTCGGCATGACCCGCAGTGTGCTGCTGTGGATAAGATCAACAACAAAATGTATTTAGGCAACCTAAAAAAATCGGTATCAGTGTAAGTGTACGCAATATTTGATATATTTTCACCACCTTACCTTACAGCCAGACAGCAACTTCCAACAGTTAACTGGAGCTGTTGTGTCGCTCTCTTCAAAGCCAGAATCCATTGATAAAAACAGTGATTTAACGTCACTGAACACAGGAGCTGCTTCTGAATCTGCACCTTACTGCTATGACGGGGCTAATGGGGTTTAGCTTCTGTAACCCTGAACACAAGCGCGCGGGTGAAGTAGAATAAGTTGTGGAAATGATGTGCGCAACATCTCCCGCGACAACATCACAGACACACCATAATGTGAGAAGTAAATCTGCGAGAGGGACATAGCTTTCTGTGGTGCAGCATGAAACCACAGACTGTAGCATGAATCGTTAGCATGCTGACGCTAGCGGCTACCTGACGTGGTGATGCGCGCCGGTAAAAGAGCTGTGCGTCGGTTCCGTTAAACCACATCTCGTGGCGGACATATTACAACTTCGTTTCACATACTTAACCTTTATAATAAGAAATCAGTCAGTTAATTCACCATATTTTACCTTATGGTTGTTTCCAAGACCCGGAAACGTTTCACCAAAACACTTCCGTCTGCTTCTTCTTCTGTCATCAGTGCCTCAGGTTTGACTCAGACTACTGCTGCCCCCCAGTGGTGACAAGATGTGGTTGCAACAGACAGTTTGTATAATGCAGCAAACATATAAATATGTGCGCATTTTCAAATTGTTCCTGTATTGTTATTATTATTATTATTATTATTATTATTATTATTATTAATAAATAAAATTAAAAAAATTGTCACAGTTCTTTACATATTTTCATTATGGAATGGTATACTGGAGAATGTGCCTTGGGGAGAGAGGTAGGCTTTGCATCTCAAATTTTTTCTTACTAATAAAAGGAGAGAAGTTACATTTAAAATAATTCAGACTGCTAATTTTGTAAACGTTCAGTCGAAACTGTTTCACATTTGTTTTGGATTTATTTTGGTCAGACATTCTAATGTTCGTCTAAACATACACAAACACATCCACAAATGCAAACCATTATTTCCTATATCCAAGAATGAATTCAATGAATATATTGGTGCCATTAAATATTCAAAAAACTCTAAAGCTACAAGGACTGTGCCATTATATGCAGCCTTTGTGACCTCCCAGGACTGATGTTGGAGCATCTTTGACTGAAGCTGGTGCTGTGATCGAATCTATTAAAGCCTTGTTAACCTTGATTATTTCGCTCCTCCTCTTCCTGTACCGTTTGTGTTTTATGAAAGTCATGTTTGACATCATCTTTCATAAAATAACATAATATTCTATTAATTTAAAAATATTTAAATTGTTCAAAAAATTGAAATAATGTTCAAAATATGAAATAATAAGCACACTGAAAATATAAAAATCTAAGAAAATATTTTTAACATAATATTTTAGACATATATATACAAAACAAGTTTACTTCATAAGTGTTAGGACAGTTATTCACCCTCACAAAATTGTATTACTGTCACAGAGGGACAGAACAAAATAATTAGTTAGTTCGTAACTTACAATATTTGGTCTGGTTTTTAATTGAACAATTTCTATTGTATAAACAACATTTAAGCTTTAAGATCTTTGCATTAGATCCAAGAATTATTGAAGTAATTATTGGAGTATTAAATAAATAAAAGACATTAGCTTTATAAAGAAAAATGAATGATAAAAAAAATAAATTAGGGGCTACATGTTTCTTTTTTTTGTTTTTAAACCATTTTCAACTACAGTAAAAACGCTAAAAAGTTCCATTGCATTTTGATTTTTCACGAGTTTAAGGGCTTTCAAGTCAGAAAGAAACTCATTATGAAACACACTTGCACTTTTATATATTTATATTTGCATACAAATCTTTTCTTCTGTAAGAATGTTACCATCCAGTAAGTCCTCCTCCCAGCTGTCCCTAAGGAGTCCATCAGCAATATTCTTTTATTTGAATTTCTCTAGTTGCAAAATTTCTGAGTTAGTTAGTTAAACACACACATTTTAAGGTTTGGTCTAATTACACTGAATAAATTAAATTAAATGTCGATATTTACACTCAGACACATGTCAAAGCAGAAACAGCCTACTAATAAGCAGGGCGGAGCAAGCTGACGTCTCTCTTCTCATTGGCTCACAGTCGCTTGGGGATGAGAGGGCGGGACATCCTGCGATTTTACCGCTCCTGATTGGCTGTGGCTCCCCAGACCGGGAACATTTTGAAAGTTACTGGGTGGGTGCAGTTAGTTTGTGTGTGTTTGTGTCAAACTGACAAAACTTCGTATCGCTGCTCGCTGTTAGCTCATTAAAACCGACCTATATATTTGTTAACGTATTAAACAATTGTTTTTAATCCTCCATGGAGCAGGAAGCTCGAGAAAACCCGACGAAAGAAACTGGGGACGAGATGACGGACATCATGGTGGAGGATTTCGAGTCCTTCGTTAACGTTGATATCGACACGGAGAAGAACAACGGGACTCCTGAGGAGTTACATCCTGTGTCCGGGATAAGTCAAGGTCTGTGTCGTGTTTTAATTAGTCATGTTTAAAATACGCTAGCAGTGTTAGCTAGTGTCAGTAATTAGCGTTTAAACTAGTGTTGCCTGGTGTAAGTTGAGCCTCTGATGTAGTTGGGTCGGTGTGCAGTTAAACACGTTTAAACAGTGTTTCCTGTGTTAATGTGACAGTAACAGTCACAGTTTGTGTGTTTTCATATCTTTTATGCCCCAAACCAGTGGAGCCAGATGCTGTTCAATGCCATCTAACGTTGTGGTTAGTTTGGAAACCAGTGACGTAGCTAACTGATATGAGACAACACGTATTTTCCCCCAATTTTTACAACCCATCCTGCACTGTAAGACCAAATATCTGCACCACAATTTTGAATCAGCTCATGATACACGATCAGATCTGTTTATTGGTGCATCCTGAAAAGTCAGGGTGATGAAAGTGTCAGTGGTAAAGTTGCTGCTGCTGCTGCTGTTGTTGTTGTTGTTGTAGCAGCACCACCCCCATCAGTCCTACATGAACTGGGACCAAGACAAGCTTGAAATGTAATTAAGGCTCATTCTCTGTGTCTGCTTTTGCCTCCTCCCTCCCTCAGCTGATACTAACTTTTTCCATGTTTGGCTGAGGTGCCAGCTGGATGACCCTGTTTTTCATGGACTCCCTCTGAGGGTTGGTGAAATTAAAGGGTGTAGTAATTCATATAATCTGTTATCAGGCAAATTACTTATGTGTATTCAGTCCACAGCGTAAACCTGGGGTGCCAAACTTGTTTTAGTTCATGGGCAACATACAGCCCAATTTGATCTCAGTTGGGCCACAGCAGTAAAACCATCACAGAATAACCTGTGTTAGGGATGCATGGAATATTGGCAATTGTCAGCAGAATCGGCCAACATGCTGTTTCTTATTGTGCACAATGAATGAATGTTATATACACTAAAAAGTATTCTATGTCATGTCTCCATCTGCTGGTGGGCCATCCTGTGCAAAGTCATCCAGTGGGCTGGATAAAAGGATGACAGGTTTATGTTTGATGCCTCTGTTGTAGACATTTGTGACTGTCCCCCTCTTTCTCCCACCTTTCCTATCTGTCTTAGCTGTCCTATCAATAAAGGCAAATACTGTCCAAAAAAAAAAATCGTAAAGAACAGACAGAAATGTGTGGCTGGGGGGCAGACAGAAACAGACACATACACTCTGTTGTCCATTCCACCATGTAGCCCATCACAGATACTGCTCAGTACTCAGATGGAGAAGTTGCTACTTTTACTGGTAGCACTGGTTTAACCTGTTTGCAGGATGTCGGTGGAAATCAGCTGAAGCGTGTTAAAGAAGGATTTCACAGCTTTTCATAAAACTGGTTTGTCTACGCTGTGAAAAGATGCAAATACTTTTGAAATTGAAGCAAAACAATCAAAGTAAACAGAGAAAAAGGGCCGTGGCATTTGCATTTTGCTCAAGAGGTAGAAAACCTACAACTACCAGAATGCACTGTGCCGCACTGGACCAGCGCTCCTGCTGGTGGGCGACGTAACCGGTATCTCTGAGGTGCAACCAGTTGTAATTTAGCCAAGTGTATATTTCCAGTGGAACACTTGTGTATGAACCACTGCTGCTGAACCTCCAAAGGTAGAAAAGAGCAATAAAATTCCTCTACAGCTCGTAATCCATACGTTTCTCCCAACAGCTCTGTTTCAGAATGAAGAGGAGGATGAAGATGAGAGTGATGACGATGAGAGTGATGATGACAGTGGCACAGACCATTTAATCTCTGAGAAATCTGGGACTCAGCTGCAGAGATGTGAGCACCGTGAAGGAGTGAATTCAAGTCTTCCCGACATCTTCCAGACCAGCCACCTGCTCTTCTATGAGAGGTTCAAGGCGTACCAGGACTACATGCTCGGTAACAGCACACAATCCTACATAGTCACACTCAAATACAATAAAATAATAATAATTCTAAATCATTTCATCCCTGAGCTCAGTCCTTGTGTGTATATCTGTGTGTAGGAGACTGTAAGCCATCTGAGGTGAAGGCCTTCACAGCAGACTACCTGGAGAAGGTGGTGGAGCCGTGTGATTGGTTGGCTTTGTGGTCTACTGATGTCTTCGATGTCCTGGTGGAGGTGAGACCAACTTTCAGACATGTTTTTGTTAATATTATGAATGTACCTTGGTCACTTGGTCATTGATTTGACACACAAGTTACATTTGAGCAACTGCCAAAATATATTTTTATCCACATAGGAAATTTGGTAGAACGCATTTACAGTAAACAGTGGTTCATGACTTCCAGTGTTGCAGCTAAAGAAGTGCTTATGATTCCAGGTGTGTGATGTGGACTGGAAGGATCTGAAGGCGTGTGTGAAGCTGGCGCTGCCTCTGCAGTGTGACACCAGAGGCTGTGAACTCACCGAGGACGCCATGACGTCTCTGCTGGAGGCCACTCAGCACAAAGTCCCTCTGCAGGAGCTCCTGGTGGTCTACGAGCAGTCTGGGGACTTTGATCAGACCGCCCTCGCTGTCGAGCACCTCAGGTGAGACTCCCGAGATGATTCTGTGCCTGAAGTTTGCTCGTTTGTGTTTTTAAAGAGTCTGAATTTAATACCCAGATATGTCTTCCTCTTCTTCTATCCGCAGGTTTTTCTATAAGCACATCTGGAGAGAGTGGGATGAGGAAGATGAAGACGATGACTTTGACTACTTTGTTCGTTGTGTGGAGCCTCGCCTCAGGCTGTGAGTGCACCTTGTGTCTGGGGGATGACGTAGTATTAATAAGTGTTGTTTTATTCCTATGATTCCTGTTTGAAAATGCATCTTCTCTCAGCTACTACGACATCTTAGAGGACAGAGTCCCAGCAGGCCTGGTGGCAGAGTATCAGGCCTTACTGGAAAAATGCTCCCAGTGCTTCCAGCAGTTCTTTGTGCTGCGCAGCGGCCTCAGCGCCGACTCAGACTCAGAGCCAGACAACGTGTCCATGGTGGAGGGCCTGAAGCTCTACGACCAGCTGGAGACGTTCAAACGCAAGCTGCACATCATAGAGAACCCCCTGCTGAGGTAACAGATGTGTTGAGATTCTCCCCACACCATCGCCACTACTTCCTCTCTCTGTCTCTAATCCAATCTTCCGTCAGTATCTTCCTCCTCATCATCATTACGTCCATCACTTCCTCTCCAGGTATGTGCTGGGCTACAGAGGCAATGCCAGGCAGCAGTGTGCGCAGAGTCGGGGGCCCAGAGAGTCGGGTGTGAAGGTGGTCCATGTGGTCACAGCCTCCTGCAGCACCACCCAGCTCCAGTCCCTCCTCAGTGACAGACTGCTGCCTCTGTGTTCCTCTGAGGACACTGAGATTCAGGTCAGTACCACCACACACCAAATCACACCCTCCAAAGGAATCACCTTGCAGAAGGAAGAGTGTGGAGTGCAGTTCAGTCAAAAGAAAATAGTTCCTATGTGAAACTGCTCACAACAAAATCTGTGGATTATCTTGTGTAACGGCATCATGACTTCTTAAACACTTTCCGTGCACTCAGCTGAGTTAGAGAACAGCCGGGGTGAAGCCGGGTGCTTTGTACATTGACATTAATCGCCTCAGTGAAACTGTTGGATAGTTTAAAATGAAGAGACACGTGTTCTCTTCTTAGATCCTTGTTTCCAGTGGGGCCACATCTAAAGCTTGTCCTGAGAGTGGCGCCAGAGAGAAGGAAACTCTGGCTTCTGTGGGAGCTCTCAGGCTCAGCTCTAAACTGTACAGTATGTATACACTCAGTGAGTGAGCCCCTCTAAGCTGTGTGTGTTTGCATGTTTGTGTTTAGTTCCACAGAGACCCAGTGTCAGCAGTGGAAGCCTGCCATCAGGATGATGTGGTCATAGTTCTCCCAGGGATCTACAGTGTCAGCAGCTCCATCTTTCTGCCTGACTCCATCACTATAGAAGGTAAACAGCTCTTATCTTGTTTCCGCTGACATGATCAGTGTTTGGAGAGCGTAGTTGTAAATCAATTAGTACTGGCTCCCTGCAGGGTTGTGTCCTTTCTCCTCATGTTACCTTGTGATAAATACACTCTGACTGTTTTGACATAATGTGTCTTGGTGGTGTTGGTCATCATTGGTCAGCTTTGTCTGTTAACTGGTTTGCCTCAGATTGCTTAAGTGTATCTGGATGTGTTAAATGAATCCCTGTGAGAAGAGGGGTTATATCCCTCTGGGTTTAAACCTCACAGGTGAGCAGTGCAGTCTGAAAACACACACACATACACACGTCATTACTCTTGTCTGTGCGTCAGGCTTCGGGCTTCCTGATGAGGTGGTGATTGAGAAGAAAAACAAAGGCGACTCATTTGTGGAGTCAACCGGAGCTGACATACGGATGTCCAACATCAAGTTCATCCAGCACGATGCTATTGAGGGCATTCTGTGTGAGTACACACTGTTACTGTGGCTCCCCCCTGTACACCTGTTTAAAACACTGTCATGTTGTTAAGAATTTTCTTTTTTTAAGTGCTTTTACCAGAAAATTGGTCCAACAGATCCTGTAGAATCTGTTTTATGTTGAAAACACAGTCATTAAATGTGATATTATAGTTATAATCTACAAAACTTTCAGTTAACCTCTTCTCTTCCACCCCTCCCAACAATAGACCCATTTTGTCTTTTATAAGGTGGACAGGGGATCTTTAGGGGGAGACAGCAGGTCAATAGTTTTTGCTACATAGAAGTGGTTTACATAGTCTGAAAGCTGGAACCTCAAGATTAATTTGAGATGCATCTCAGCACTGAGTGTCAAGTTTTTCTAGTCATAAATCTGTAATAAACATTGTGGTTTGGTTTAGGTGGCTATTGGAACTTTTAGAGTTTAGAGCATATAGAGCCTAGAACACTATGGTAGAAGTACATGATGGCCATTCACATGCTCAGTTATGCCTCGTTAGTTGTTGCAGCAATTTTTAGGTTGATACCATTTGTCACACAGATATTGTGATAGATTTAATCTTTTTATTACCACTCGAAAAATGGTCAAAAATCCCTCCAGAGTTCCTCATTAAGACAGCAGGACTTTGAGGAACACTATTAAAGCTGCAGTGATTAATCGATTAATTGACTAGTTGTGAACTTTTAAATTAACTGCCAACTATTCTGATAATAAATTAATTGTTTTAAACAATTTTTCAAGGAAGAAAAAGTCGAAATTATCGCACTGCAGCTTTTTAAATGTGAGTATTGTCTGGTTTCTTTCCTTCCCCATGACAGCAAAACTGCATATCTTTGGTTTTAGGACAAAACAAGACATTTGAGGATGTTATCGTGGACTTTGGGAAACACTAATCGACATTTTTCACCATTTCCTGACATTTTGTACATCAAACAACTAATCGATTACTCGAGAAAATAACTGACAGATAATGACTGATGATTATTTGCAGCCTGAAACAAGCTGTGATTTGGCATCAAAAACTTTTCAAATTTGGAGATTTTTGTATGAATTGCATCTTTCAGGCCTACGTGTCGTGCACACATGTTGCTGTGTGATATAAAATAAACAGTGAAGCTATCTGTTAACATGCTGACTGTCCTGTTGTGTCATTTCCTGTGGTTTCTGTCAGGTGTGCGTCAGGGGACTCTGAACATGGAGAACTGTGTGCTGCAGTGTGAGACCACGGGAGTGATTGTCCGAACATCAGCCCATCTCACTATGAACATGTGTGACCTGTATGGCTCCAAGGTGAGTGCTGATCACAGGTAGAGACTAGGGTTGGGTACCGAAACTCGGTACTTTTTGTACTTGGTACCGATTCACGTCGGTACTACCGAGTACCGATTCACTTAAAATGAATCGGTGCCAAATTTTGGTACCTGAGGTGGAGGCGGAGCAAGAGCGCATGACTAGCACCTCAGACTCAGAAACAATGGCGACAAAAAAAATGTGCAGACAAAAGTTAACGTGCAGCACTGTTCCTAAATGTTCTCAATAAAATGTTGAAACGGAGAAGTTTAGACTATGGGCCCAAACGACGCATAGTGCGTCCAAATTCACACCCGTTCTTCTCTGTGGATTTTCCGTGTGTCATAGCGAGAAGCCACACATATCACATGAAACGGCAGAGCTGTAGCTTTCCACCAAGGCCAAGCACTTGTCGGTAATCCAATGTTTTCACAGCGAAAAAATTGATAAAGTTACAATAAAATGATGTATAACAGAGCTTTCATACACCTCTGCACACACATTACTCTTGGATGGATTACTCGCGAATGCAGGCTCGCACAGAAATGCCACACATATGACATGAAAGTGCAGGAGCAGAGCTTTCCAATGATACACACACATCACTGTGCTGTCATCCCATCATGTTATAAATCCAGATCAATTGTCTACAAAAATAAAAACCTGACGAATTTCTTTACAACCCATTATACAGATCTTGTTATCAGTCACTTCATATAGTGAGGAATATCGTATCTTACCACGTCTTAGGCTTGCGTGTGTTTCTCCCTGTCTATCCACATTTGTAGTCCGGCTTTCAAGATGCAAATATCTCCATATTGTCCATTTGATACTCGTCAAACTTTGTATGACAAGACAAGCGCACTTCACCTTTGTGCACCCAGACAACTGTATCCTAATTATGCATGCATGACAGGGCCGTAGTCACCATATACATTAAGGGGGACACCCCCCCCCCCCCCCCAATATATAACTGAAAGTGAAAAACAAATATTATTTTGGAGACGAGACGAGACGATCTTGGAGGAGATCATTGCACTTGGCTAACTATTTTTCTATGATCTTAGATGTAAATATTGCATGTTTCTTTCATAAAACACATTTTTGACTTGTGAATGAGTCAATGGAATTTCTTGCAATAATGAAAAAATACTGGCAATCATGTCCGCCTGGCACAAACCACATGTTTTGGACAACTGTGAAGTGACAGAATGTCCCAGCATCATGGTTCTTATATTGCCAGATTCCAGAGAGTCTCCCCTCTTCATATATGGCAGAATATGTCATTTTCCAACTTGCTATGGTGAGATACATGTAAAAATGTAAAAATTTAGTCACACAGATTTGTTTTTTTCATTGATATAAAAATTAATATTAAATACAGGCACATAGAAGGACATGAAATGATGGCAAATCTGGTTAGCGCAGATTGTCCTGGAAAAAAAAACAAGACATAGCATGTGTATGTAGCCTTTATAATGACTGTGATATGAGCTTAAAAGTAAAGGCAGTAAAAATACCCCAAAAATGCCTAGGGCCCATAGGGTTCAAAAGTACCGAAATAAGGTACCGTTTGGTACCAGTAACGAATTCCAGATAACAGTACCGGTACCATATTGGTTCAATTATGAATGGTACCCAACCCTAGTATAGACCCCTCTTGAGGCTCCACCTCACCGTCAGTTTGTCAGTTTACAGTCTGTGCTGACTGTGGGAACAGTCTCATAGCTGACTCACCGCAGGAACCTCTTCAATAAACATTTATTCTGACACAAACAGTCAGTGCAGTAGATCCACTCAGAGATAAATCTTGTTTCTTTAGGAGCTCTTTTAGGAGAGGACCATCACCTCAGTACGTTGACAGGATTTTTATCAGTGCAACAACTGTGGAGATTTCTCTTCTTTGTCTAATCGTCTAAATATATAATGAACAAACAGTGTTTCCCTCAGAATTAGAATCTGTGTGGCTGTAGCTCAACTTCAGAGGTGATGATGTGTCAGTTTTGTGTTCACGACTTGTTGTACTGCCTCCAGCTGGCCAAAGAAATCAGTGCAGCTTTAAAAATTGTGACTGAGGTGTGTGCTGAGTGAAACATTTTACAGTACAAATAAACACATCTGCATATAACATGCAGTGATACTGATGATATACGGATCAGCTGATATTGTCTGGTTGGTTTATAGAGACTCTTTGATGTAAATGTGACTACACGTGGTCAGTCATGTTGCTGTGTGTTGTACACAGGGGGCCGGTGTGGAGATTTACCCCGGCAGTGTCTGCAGTCTGGTCGGTAACGGCATCCATCACTGTAAGGACGGGATCCTCATCAAGGTGAGAGAAAGACAAGATGGCAGCCTGTTGGAAACAAGTGTCATCTTCAGTGTTAAGTGGAATGCTGTCCTCATGATTTTTTATTCTAACCCTGTTACTAAATGTGAAATGTTTGGGGGTGTGTGCAGGACTTTGCTGATGGGCTGGACGGGATGCCATCAATCACCATGGAGAACAATGTGATCCACAACAATGAAGGCTACGGGGTGATTCTAGTGAAACCCAACAACGGGGAACAACATGGAGCTCCTCAGGACAGAAGTGGAGGTAGGTGGAGCTAAAACAGTCGGAACAGTACATTAAATAAATATAGATGAGGATATGAAGGCAGACATGAAGGCAGGTTTGTTTGCAAACAGCACAGAATCAATACTGAACAGAGCTTTTGTCTCCAGAGGACTCTGCTGGACCGACAGCTGAGGACAAACAGCAGGAAGGTGTTACAGATCTTCCTGTCGTCTCCACAACCAATCCGACCAGCAGCGGCTCGGCAGACGTCCAGCCCGAGTCAGCAGAGAACAACAACAGCACAGACGGTGACGCAGCCTCCACCTCAGGCAAGAAGTGGCAGTTCAGTCGTCAGCTGAGCAGAAACAAGGAGACGTCCTGCAGCCGAGCCGTCCAGGACCTGATGGACCATCAGATCTTCGTCTCCATTCAGGGAAACCAGTTCAGACGTAACGGCATGGGCGACTTCGGCACCTTTTTCTACTGACAAACTTCAGACTGGCTGAACAGCGATACATGTCGGCACCCTCAGAACTGACAGCTCTTTAGAGATTGCTCAAAAGAGTTTATTTGACAGCTTCATGTTTTAGATTTTCGATTGTCATGAAATAAATCTTGCTGACTCACAGCCGTCCATCGAGGTGTTCTGCAGAGACGATGATAATGTTCCTGTGTTGTGATCAGTGTGTGTTTCTAAAAGCACTCTGAATTAACTGTAAATTGTTCCCCACCTTTGCTTTTATCTTATTTATTCCTTTGGGCTTCTGACGCGAAATGTTTTTAATTTTTTTTAACGCATTATTTGAATCCACTCGTCACTTTGAATTCAGTTTTGGTGGTTCCACTTTAGATCTAATAAATGTTACGTTACGGTGATTATGTTGTTACCTGATGTTGAAAGCAGTGCACTGTTGATGACACACTGATATTAGTTCTTTGTTCATGAGTTAGATGTAATGTTCACGTGGTGCCTCCTTTTTTTAAAAGGTGTTGGTTGTGTGTTATGGTCGAGGGGAGTCTTCAGGCTGACAGACTCTGACAGAAGTTTTATATATTCAGATTGACTGATGATACAAATGAGCCTTTAGTTTAAACTGCTACTTGTAGAAATTGTGAATATAATGAATTTCTTACAGATTAAAATGTGTCTGTTGAAACCTCTATGTGGTGGTGCAGTTTGATCAGCATTTAAAGGGTGTGTGTTGAAACCTGAAGCTGACCCCGACCACGCGCACTGTGAATCACACTCACTGAGTCTTAAATACCGAGCGTTAAACACTTCATTTCCTGCACTCGAGTGAATTTTAATGAACCAATATGGTGGATATTCTTTATATCAGAAATACACAAAATCAGTCATAAGTTGAAAATTCAAAAATATAGAAATATAATGCAGTGACACTTTCTCTCCCAAGTCAACACACGGGATGATTTACTCTTTGGTCACTTTTGTGTTTAAGGAAATTAACTCTTTAATTGAGCATGTGGCACCTTTTTATGTCTGACACATTAATTCATTTTAATTAATTTATAAACCCCTGGACTTAAACAGCTCGTGTGTTGTCAAGTTCACAGAGGGAGAATGGAGAACTTGGACTGATGGATGAACATTTTTGGGTCATTTTAGAATCAGGAGGTCAGAGGGGATTTTTTTTAATCATTACTTTTTTTTTGGACAATGCACATTTGGTTCTTCTATATTAACACTGCATTGTATGTTTTATCATGTAAATAAACCCTCTTAAAGTGTTCTCATCTTAGTAGTTAAAATTTCTCGGTGTGAGTTATGTCTCAGAACATTTTAAACAAGTTATGCTTTTAAAAAGTGATGGTGACGAAATCAGCCATTTAAAAAGTGGTGCTGACATGTCTCCAGTGTAAGTGACACCTAGTTGTACATGACAGTAAATTTCAACATTCAGCTGCTGAAAAGTTACTTAAAAATGAAAAGGAATGTCTCACAGGGTAGAGAACGTGTACGTGACCTCTTGTATGCAGGGACATCACTTAGTTTTCATTTTTTCTTCATGTGTTTAGAAGCAGAGAAAGAAGGGATCAGTTAGAGCTGCAGGAACTTTTAAAGCTATAAATGAACCCTGAGGCCACATTAGTAAATTATACTTGTCCAAACATCTTGTTTTCTGAAGCTTTATGCTACAAAACATTCTGTGAGACCTGTTTGACTTTCAGCGTGCTCACGAAGTGGCAACCTACGAAGCTATAAAAATGAAGCCAACACTCAAGTCCCAAAAACTGCAGTTCCTCTAATGTCCACTTGAGGCTGGCTCCAAGATCAAGTCAATCCCCACAGACCCTCATGTTTAAATGCTCAACTTCACAGCATTAATTAAAATGTTTACAGTGTGGTACAAATATGGTCTTTAGGTCTGATTTCCTGATTTATGACAACTGTACGGGGCTGAACTGTTATACAACTCACCTCTTTAGAAGATATTAAAGCTTAAAAATGTGTATAATTAAGAGTGTAGCTGCTTTAAATGACAAGTGGGTGCCGTCCACTGACTAGTCGCTGCCATGGCGACAACGTTGGTTATGTATCCAGAACATAGCATAACCCCAGACTGACAGAGTATAGGCGTAGCTGTAGTTTTTTTTGCTAGCGAAAATTTGTATTAGCATTATCACAGTTATCCATAGCTGTAAATACACCATGCTAACCAGCTAGCAGCTTGTGTTCAAACTTCAAGTTATCTCCATACTCTTGTCCAAATAGGGTGATTTTTGGCTCCAAATATCCAAGATGGCAACGGTCAAATTGCCAAAGTAAAGGCTTCAAAATCGTGGATGTCTAAGTAAAACTGGATACAACGTTTGAGGCAGGGCCATTCCGATAAAAGTTGCTGAGTGGTGCATAAAGACAAAAGTGTAAAATTAACGAGATCTTCCACATTGTTGGGCCCATAGAACAAATGCATTGCTGTACAGCTGTCGCGATTTCTACCTTACTTTAGAACTGGCTTCACCACCCAAAGTGGTCAATTTCCAAAGGGAAGGGGTCAAGACTCCTAGGGCAAGAACAGCTGCCAAGAGCCTGGTTTCAGTTTTGAATTAAGCCTGACTGGGAGATGCAGGTGGGCCTGAAGAGGAGACTCGTCTTTCCAGAAGGGGTACTCCGACCAGACATGATCTTAACATCAAGGAGCACAAAAACCATCTTGGTTGCCAAACTTACATTCCCTTGGGAAGACAGGCTAGCCATCTCTCACTAGCTAAAGAAAGCAAAGTACCAGGACTTGATTGATGAGGTCCTTGTCAGAGGGTGGCATGCATCCTTATTCCCTATTGAAGTCGGCTGCCATGGTTTCCTATCAACATCAGTGCACTATTTCTTACCAAAGATCGGTTTGGAACCCAGACAACTAAAGAAAGCCATCAGCGAGAGAGCCATGGCAGCCGAGACGAGCTCAAGATGGCTATGGTTGACCAGAGGCCAGAGCTGGAACCCTTCTCCGGGCGGAAGTTAATCCTAAGACCCGTTTCCACCGCAGGAACTTTGGGGTAATTTTACGGGGCCGGGGCCGTTGGTGCGTGTCTCCACCGCAGGAACCACCCCTGAAGGACAGAGTTCTGGAACTTTTACAGGGGCTAAATAAGTCCCTGCCTCGGAGTAGGTACTCAGAACGGCCCCAAAAAACTCCTGGCTGGGACTTAGGGATTACTTGGTGCTGATTGGATATACTCAAGGAAGGATGTGAAGTCAACAGAAAGAAACAAAATAGCCGGCATTTTTAAAACTCAGCAGATGTCTTCTCTCGTTTATAGCTTTCACCGCCATGTAAACAAAGAGACACGCCAGAAACCCAGCAACCACCTCAGCTCCTTCCATGTTGATTATCGTCTTTCTTATGTCTGCTTTCTTCTTCTTATTCTGCTTCTTCTTCTTTGTTGTTGTTCTTCTTTGTTTCTTTGCTGCATGAATGGTTGCGCAACGATTACGTCACATCCAGAGCCCGGTAACTTTACAGGAACCTCCCTCCTGCTCCGCCCTCTCAGTGGAGACACGGCGGTTGAGAGGGCCGAGCGAGAGGACGTTCGTGTAGTAGTTCCTGCCCCCAAATAGTACCAGGAACTTCTTCAGTGGAAACGGGCCTCTAGTCTTCAATGCCCCATGCAGCCGAGGTGCAAGAGGTATGCAGTCAGGTTCAGACCTGGCTCAGGGAGGACGCCCCTGCCTTGCATAGTCCCGGGTCCAGCTGCAGGGAGTGGAAGGGAGACGTCCCTAACCGCTGCCCAACTATCCTAAGATGCTCTGGGTTTAAAGGGCCGAAACATCAAGGAGGGATGGCCCCCAGCTGACGACCCTGCAGCCGGTACCCATGAATGCTCCAACCATCCTGCCACAGACGAATAACATCCAGAGGAGAAACATGCAACACCTTATCAAACGTAGCTCTAGATTCTGCTTATAACAAAGCATTCTTGATGTTTATTTCACCTTCAGTTTATAGAGTTAATGTAACATCTTTGATCATCATGGTTAGCCATAGCTGTCAATACACTGTGCTGACCACCCTCTCGTCTCTCCACCCTCTCGTCCAAATACAGTCACTTTTAGCTCGGACCTGGAAGTTGTAATTCCACTGCTTGGCCGCTACGTAAAATTGGCTTCAAAGCCAGTGCTGAATCTGGGGGCTTGTTCAAAACGAGAGTCCACAAACCAGCAGGTGATGTCATGCTGGCTACGCCCATTATTTTATCCAGTCATAAACATGGAACTTGTGTGTAAATTTAGTGCAGCGCCACAACCACTGTGACACGAATGGAAATAACAACGGCACAACAAATGAAAGTCAAAATAATTAACTGTATTCCAAAACAAATGAAAAAAAAAAATCTCATTTTTGAATTACACAAAGACTTTAAGACAGAAGTCTCTCCATAACCAGTGTTCATCTTTCTGTTAACACCAGTTCACTGCTGGCCGTGTTAACCACCATTCAGTATATTACACACAGAAATGAACACTTGAGGCAAACAGTTCAGGCAGTTTATGAGTGCAACAATTATCAAAGTCATTCCACATAAGGCAAGGTGTCGTATGTTTTTAAAGCAAAGCGGCTGTGTAACAGTTATGTACAGTTCATTATCAAAATATTGCTTCATCTGTCAAATAAAAATATTCTCAGTTGACTCGCTGATTGAGCTCCATGAAAAATCTGGAGACTGTCCAGTGAAATGATGAAGGGTGAGAGAAACTGTTGGAAATGTTGGGAGGAAATAGCCGGCAGGTAAACGCTGTCTCATTGGTCGTCGTCAGAGTCCTGGGTACTGCCCAGGTGACTCTCCTGCACCTCCAGCTCCTCAGCACTCACCATGGCAGGACTGATGGCGGCGTATCTCGTCCCGTGGAACTGGCGCAAGTGTATCTGTGCAAAGGAAAAAAACAAACAAGAATTTATATGCACGATCTTGTTTACACATACATTGTGTTTATAGTAATGTTAAGATGTTCTGGTATCAGGTATTTCCACTAGTCAGCGCTGTTCAGGCAGCTCGTAGGTCTTGTGGTTAAACAAAAGAAAGGGAGGGGGGATTTAGCAGGTGCCATGGCTGACTGATGTGTGTTTGGATTTCCGGACTTAAGTTATGAGGAAAACCCAGAGCATATTAGACTCTTTCGTTCCTTCTCACACACCAACGCTGCTTACAGTACAGTTTCTCTGTATTGGCTGTTCTTCCTGTCCAGCCGGTGTTACTTCCTGTTTACTGGTTAACATTCTTTCTCAAACAAAGCATGGGTGTTGTGGTTAATAAATGAAATCCATCACAATGACAACCAGATAACAGCTACTGTAACTTGGAAAACAGCGATGTGGCACTTAATTTTATGAGTTTCTTGTTTATCAAACAACAAGCGAGACGAGAAATGGCACAACACATCAGATCTGTCTCTAGCCCCCTCTCCTCTTTACTGTCTGTCCTGTTGCACCATCAAAAGCAGGTGACACTGCACCACGGTAGGGCTGCAACGATTAGTCGACTAATCGATGACTAATCAACTATTAAAATAATCTGACTATTTTAGTAGTCGACTAATCGGTTTGAGTCTTTTTTCATAGAAAAGTACTATAAAAGTACCCCAAAATACTCTTATTGCAGCTTGTTAAGTTCAAATATTGGCAGCTTTACACACTCTCCCACGACGGTGAACTAAAACCCTTTGGCGTGAGTATGAAACAAGACATTAGATGACATAATTTTGGGGTTTGGGTGAGACAGGCCGACATTTTTCAACATTTTAACACATTTTTCGAGAAAATGATTAGTCGACTAATCAAAGAAATAATCGACAGATTAGTCGACAATGAAAATAATCGTTAGTTGCAGCCCTGCACCACAGGAAGGTCAGATATGTTGCTGAGGTCCACCATTTGAAATGCAGTTATGGGATGTTTTCGAGGTGCACGGTCCACCAGCATCAGCCGCTCGCACCTCAGCTCCCAGCACCAACACTGCACCGGGCAGCACTGTGATTCATTTTATTTTTTGTTTCTCTAACAGGACTTTTATCTTGTTGCTGCAGGAAGATGTTCTTCATATCTGGGCTGACAGTTGCGTGCTTCCCAGCGCCCGAGCCTGTTAGAGGTCTGTGCTCGTGGATGATGCAAACCTTCAAAATATCCATAATTGCATTTGAAACCATGGACCTCGGCAATATGTCCACATATTTTTCCCACATTTTCATGGACAAATTTTCAAAACTTTCTCAAGTCTCTCAAGGACCCATAAAAAAA